GTGCTGGGGGATTGAACCACGGTCCCTGTGCTTTGCTAAGCTTGTTCTAAGGAGGTGCTTTAGACCACTGAGCCATCTCACTAGCCCCTTTCTTTATATTCTGTAGGGATTTAAAGTTTATCATATCAATACTTGATGGGAAATACCTATTCTGTGCTATGTCTAAGATGTTTGAAAACTTTTGGATGGAACCTTGCTCAGGTCCACAGGCAGAGATGCTCAGTCCTCAGGGGCTGTCTGTGCTATAAAACTTATATTAGCACTAAATTTACCTACCCAATCTCTTCAAGACTGAGGACCCCAAGGTAAGCATAAAGAGAGTAATTTTCTGGGACATACAAATGTCAACTTCTACATCATTTAGTTCAAGTTCCCTGAAGGATGCCTAGAAAATTCTAGACATTATCCTAAACTTGTATTCACCTGGGTTTCAGAAAAGCAGAACCCGGCACAGTATGCATGGTGAGAGGAACTTCCCAGTAAGTTCCCTAAGCAGAAGAAATTACCCGGGACAGATACCAAGACAGGCCCCTCTCAAGAAAGGCCAATCATCTCCTGGGAACTAAATTGCCTCTAAAGCCATAAGGATTCCTATCGAGTTGTGGAAACCAGAACTGAGATAATGATCCACCAAACCCTGACCTGTTGGGAGCTGCGAAAGCTGGAAAATTGGTCAAATGTGGGTAGGCAGGACTAGGCCTCATTGCCTAAAGCAAACAAGCTATCTCAGTCCTGAGATAAACACCCTGTCTGGTTAAGGTCAGCTAGATAACTGTGTGTTATGTGTTACTAACTTTACAAAGGTATAAATAAAAGTCCAGTTTGTTTACTCCCAGGGTCATCTTGCCAACCAAACAGATGAGCCACCACCTAAACCAGTTTTTGTGCTCTTGTCTATCTTTTCCTCATTCCTGCCATCATTTCTCCCGTGCCAGAACTGATCGCAATGATACCAAAAGACCCCTATATTTGGTCCCCGAACAGGGACCTGAATGCCATTCCTTAAAAGCTAGTCTGGGACAATTCAGTGAGATTTTGTTAAAAAAAATTACTAAAAAAAAGAAAAGAAAAATAGGTTCAGTCCTTACTACAGAAGAGACAAAAAGCTGTGGCTAGACCAACTTCAGGATCCCCAATTAAATGAGCATTAGTATTTATGCAGACTGTGACATACATCAGACAGTTATTTTATTTTTTTACATATTATTTGTGGTGCTGGTGATCAAACCTGGGGTTCAATGCTAAGCACACATTGTACCACTGAGTTACACCCCCCAGCCGGATTAATCATGTATACATTTATGTATCATAACAAAGCTTTGTCAGAGAAGTTGTTTAAAATAATGGAAAGAGGGGCCGGGGAGTTGGCTCAGTGGAATAAGCGCTTCCCTGGCAAGTGCAAGGACCTGAGTTCAATCCCCGGAAAAAAAAAAAAAAAAAAAAAAAAAAGGAAAGAGTGAGCAATAAGAATTGGCTCTATGCTTTGTAAAGTTCAAGGTGAGATGATCACAGCTTATTACCATACAAAAATGATTTCCTTCTTTTGGCTTCACAGTGTTTAAAGTAGGGGGAGTACCAGAATAAACTTCATAGAGGATATACTTGCCAGATCAGGTATACCAACTACACAATGAGTGAGGTCAATTAGTAACTGCTCAACTAGGATGGAAGTAGGCCTATTCTTGGAAGGTAAAGTGAAAGTAAAGATTGAGGGGTGCTTTGACACAAGCTGCTCTGGGAGAAAAGATATCAACCACGACTGAGAGCTGAGGAGGACCTTTGCCTCCACGTAGAGAAGTTGCTGGGGGAGGGGGTGTTGTTATATTCGAGATCAGCTGCGAAGCTGACCAGTATGGCCCTATCACAGCTGGGGGTGTTTGGAGAAGCAGCTGACTGTGTAGCTTGCCACTGCCACAGCTGCCAAAGTGTCAAGCTCTTGAATTTCTATGTGCTCTGAATGTTATAATGGAAGTCTATAACCCACAAGTGGAATCTCGTAAGGTGTAAAACCACTTTTTCCAAGGGAGAGGGAGCTCCAAATTCTTCTCATAGTAAAGTATGCATCACTCACCAGTAAACGAAGTGTTTGGAATCTTTTCAAAATACACAACGCGCTGCTATTTACCTAGTTGTGTGGATTACTACTGCAATCGAAGTTAAAATGTACAAACACTGCCACATTTACATCTATTATATCTATGTCTTTGCAGGTTGATTCATTTATGAACATGTTCTTGAATAATAGCTCATGCATACGACGTATATTTAGTTTTTATAAAATGTTAAGTACTCAGAGTACAGGTGCTTTCAGGTCAGGTAGTTTGGGGTAGCAGTTGTTTTTAAAAGTATTTTAAATGCTATAACTATCCTCTGACGCTCACAATGGGGAAGTGAGGACATGTATAAGATGAAGTGTCCTGTACATGTGCCAACAGCAAACTTCAATAAACAGTGCATTCTATCTCGGGTTAGTGTTTTAAAATCGCCTTCACACTTGATTAATTTTATTGAAACGACGATAACACAAACAAAAGTCTCACAGCTCTCCACTTCCTACCTCGCTGTAAATTGTGCTCTTCTGACAGTCCCCGGGCACAGCAGCAGCTCGACCTGTGCGATTTATGCACGTGCCTGTCAGCGTTAGCAGCCCAGCACGGGAGCGCAGCCAGATCTGGGCATAGAACAAACAGCGGTGACTTCTCTGACACGGGAATTTGGTTCGCACACCACCATGCATCCAGGCCTTCTAGACTCTGGCGCTCACTGCAAACTCCAAAGGTCTCCTCAGTCCGACCAGCCAGGGTTCACCCAGCGTCTATTTAGCAAGGAGCTCCCGGGTGAAGGCCGGGGTCCTGAAAAATCTTCTTGGGGAAAAGGCGGCCTGGCGAGCAACCCCGCCCTCCCTGCGCCCCACCCACCTGCCGAGCCCCGCTTTCCTGGCCCCGCCCCCAGGTTCCACCGCCCACCGGCCGAGCGCCCCATCTCGCCGGTCTCGGGCCGCCCTTCCGCTCGCCCAGCGTACCCCCTTCCGGCCGCGCCCCGCGGCCCTTCGGCCACGCCTCCCAGCCGCCCCCTCAGCCGGGTTGCGCCCCGCCCCCGCCCGGCGCGCGCGCCCTCGGGAGAATCGTGCAGTGGGCGGGGCTCCGCGCTGACGTTGCCCGGGATGCGGGAAGGTTCTGCCGCCTTCGCCGCCTGCGCCTCTCTTACCATTCGGGTTTGTATGAAAACACCGGTGGCGGTCGGCGTGGGGACCAGCCGGGAGCCCAGACAGCGGTCGCCGGTGCTGCCCGCGCGGAGCCGGCACCCGCCGGTTCGGCGCCCCTGCGAAGCCGGTGAGTGTCCTCGCCGCTGTCGCGGCTGTCTCTGCTGGCCCGCAGCGGCGGTGCCCCAGGCTGAGCGCAGCCGGGCCGCAGCCCTCACCTGCCCCGCGGCCTGAAGCGCCGGCAGCGCGGCCCGCGGTCTGAGCCGCGCCCCACCGCGTCCGAGGCGGCGGTCCGGTCCGTGGGCCGGGTGGAGTGCGGTCCCGCGGGCCGGGCTGGGCCGGGCCGGGCCTCGCCTCGCCTCTCCTCTCCTCGCCTCTCCTCGCCTCGCCTCGCCTCTCACCGTCGTGGCGTGTCCTCTGTTTACAGCCCGTCCCTGGGGGCTGGCCTTGACCCCGCGACAGTGACAGTGCAGCCGGTGCTCAGGTGCGGCCAGAGCTCCTCGACCGCTCGGAGGCTCTGTTTTTTTCCGCCTCGTAGGAGCTGTGGGGCATTTTGAATTGGTTGAGTTCCTTCTCTGGGCATTCACCCGTTGTGGGATGGAGTTTTACTACTTCGTAGTGTAGCCGAAGGGAGTGCTGATGATTTAAAACTCGTTTCCCGTCTTACCGTGGCTTGCCGGGAGTGCCTGAATATAACCCCTAGTGGGAATTTTCTTTGGCACTACAATGTTAATTCTGCTTTGTTTTAGAATCAGCGTTTTTTCATTTTTCTTCAAGTATTTAAAATTATAGGGCTGTTTAATTATAATGCATGACGGTTTATAGTTAGAAAGGACTCAATGTCATGATCACACATTTTCACTTATTATGTTGCCAAATTATCGTTTTCTTTGTTAATCTGTGAGGTATTCTTAGAAATTCTGTTTTTCTCCTCCCAGAAAGTTATTTTCGTAATTGTGTTGTGGAATTCAGTGCAGTAGACCAAAAAAGAACTGATTTATTTAAGATGCTTTAAATGGTACATATTTTAAAACATGTGCCAGATGTTAAAGCCAAACAAAGTCATGGAAAATCTGTATTTCCTATATCGAGTTACTTTGAGATAATTAGCATCCTAGAGGTAGGCTTCTCCTGTGAATTGTTAAGCTTTCCATTCCGCTTCCGCGGAGTCAAATTCTATAGCAGAGTTATAGGTGCATTTATCATGCTTCAAAGCCCTGCCTTGAATTGATTGTAGTCCCAAATTCTGAAATGAAGGGCGTAGGCTTAAAACTACCTTTATATTTGAACAATGTTAGAAAACATTAAATTTTTTAAAAAAATTTTTATATTGGATACAGGGTCTCACAATGAGATCAGACTTACAGTGATCCTCCTGTCTCAGCCTTCCCAGCACTGGGATTACAGCATGTGCCACTACACCCAGTTTTGAGGCCTCTCCGCAGGCCTGTACTGAGGATCAAACTTGGGTTCTTGAACTTGCCTGCCAGGCACTTGGTCTGCTGGGCTATCTTCATAAGCCCAACTTTAGTTAAGCTTTTAGAATTGATTTGACTGAAGACATTTACTCTCTTTTCAAAAGTCTGGGTAGACTGTTGTGTAAGAATGGTGTACCTGTATTAGTAAAAGGAAGTCTGTGACTTAGGATATTTTGTAACTTGTCTTACATTCTGTATTCTACCTTTTGAATGTTGTTTGTAGAACCCCTTCACAGTTTCATCTTCCAGACCGACTCTTTGTTAAAATACCACGGTACAGGGCAGAACGGGCAGAACGTATGGCCCTCTACAAGTTAGAAGCTTCCATTCAGTAGTGGGTGTCTGTGTAAACAATGACTGTTTTCTATTACCTGTGTCTTCTTGTGGGGACCATTCTTTCTGTTTCAATGAATTTGACTTCCCGAAGTACTTCATATGAGTATAATCAGGTAACATTTGTTTTCTCATGATGAGGTTCTTTTAGCACGGTGTCTTTAAAGTTGATGTTGCATATGTTGGAATTTCTATCTTTTTTAAGGCTGAATAATATTTCGTTGCATGTATATACCACCTTTATCCATTCATCTATCAGATACTGGATTTTTTTCTGCCAATTGCTAAGAATGTAGATGTACAGATAACACTCTGAGACAAGAGTGAAATTTCTGAATCATGTGGTAATTCTTTTTTGCATTTTAAGTTGTGTATTGTTTCCCAGGTTAAGTGTGCCACAGCTAACAGTGTACAAAAGGGTTCCATTTTCTCTTCATCTGCGCTGCTGCCTCTCCCCCTGTGGCTGTCCTTGTGGATGGGATGTGCCATGTCATTGTGGTTTTGACTGACATACATGCTGCTGACTTTGGCGTCCTCTGACTTTGTTGAGGATTTCTGCATCAGCTGCATCAGTGATTGTAAAGAATGCCAGTCTGTGATTTTCATGTAGTCTTTGTTTGGCTTTGGTATTAAGGCCAAAAATGGCCTTACAGAATGAATTAGAAAGTATTCCTTCATCTTCAGTTTTTTAGTATATTTGTGAAGGATTGATGTTAGTCTTTAAATGTTTGGTAGAATTTACCATTGAAGTCAGCAGGTGTGAGATTTGCTTTTTCAGGAGGCGTTTGAACACTTAACTGATTCTATCTTTTGGTAAGTTAGGGTTCTGTTGAAATTTTCTATTTTTATTTATTTATTTTTGTAAATTTAGGATAGGATCTACAGGGTGTACAAGATCTCATTATGTAGATTGGGCTCGTAGTGATTCTCCTGTTTTCAGCCTCCCAAGCGCTGGGATTACAGTCCCAGTCTCAACCACAGTCTCAGCACCCCCACAAGGCGGGGCCGGCACCTCATGCCAGGGATTGAATCCAGTCACTGCCCTCTCTGCCCAAGCAGGTGCTTTAGTCTGCTGAGCTATCTGGCCAGCCCGAGATTTTCTATTTATTTATGGTTCCATTTTCGTAGGTTTTGTGTTTCTGAGAATTTATTTTATGCATTTGTTTGGCATAGTTATTCACAGTACTTTTGGTTTAGTTGATTTTTCTGTATTATTCTAGTTTCTGTTTTATTTGTGCCCTAGTCTTTATTTTTTTTTCTGCTAGATTTGAGTTTGGTTCCTTTTTTCCCCTACTTCTTAAGATATAAATTTCCGTTGTTGATTTGAGAATTTTCTTCTATTTTGAGCTATAAATTTCCTTGAGAGCATTTTTTCCTGTGTCTCATGGATTTTTGTAATGTGTTTGCTTTTATTTGTCTTTAACGATTTTGTGATTTGCTTATTGAGTCTTAACTTTCTGTTTTGAGATTGGAGAAGAGATTTGTGCAATATTTATCATTTAAATTCTTTTGAGACTTGATTTGAGGTTTAATATATGTTCTACCTAGAGGATGTCCCATGCACATTTGGGAAAAATATGTATTTTGTTCTTGGGTACAGTTTTCTGTATGTATTTGTTAGATCTAGTTGGGTTATTGTATTCAAGTGTTCTTTCATCCTTATTGACAATAGGGTACCAAGGACTATTACTATAGGATTGCTATTTTTGTTTTTAATTGATTAAGTTTTGTTTTTGGTGTTCTGTTATTAGGTTGTGTAAAAGTTTTTAATTGCTCTATCCTTCTCTGTCAAACTGTTTACTAATATATAACATACTTTGTCTCTGGTAACACTGTTTTGGTTTAAAGTCTGATGATAGTATAGGCATTCCTGCTCTCTTTTGGTTACTGTTTGCTTGATTATATTTTTCCATTCTTGACTTTGAACTCATTTGTGTCTTAGCCTTGTTTTATTTTTGTGGTACTCAGAATGGAATTCATGGTTGGATCATTATTTATCCATTCTAGTGGGTCAATCTCTCTCCTGCTTTTTTTTTTTTTTTCAGTGCTGGGGATCATACTCATCTGTCTTTTGATTGGCAAATTTCATTCATTTACATTTAAAGTAATTACTGATAAGGGATTTAATACTGTTTACTTCTGATTTCTATAAGCCTTGTTCTTTGTTCCTCATATCATATATTTTGATTTTTATAGGGGTAATAGAGCTGATTGGACTTGGTGATATGAGAAAAAATATGGTGTATGTTTACTTTTTTTTTTGGTGGAACCAGGGATTGAACTCAGGCCCTTGCTCTTGCCAGGGAAGTGCTTATTCTACTGAGCCATCTCCCTGGCCCCTGCTGAGCCATCTCCCCGGCTGCCCCATGGTGTATGTTTAAAGTAAAAATATTATTACAGTTGCAGTGCCCCTCAAAGCACTTTCTGTTGCCTTAAACACTCTTATTCTATCTTCTTGGCACTTTGTGAAGCAATTTTGAAGTTGTTTTTCATGAGTGTCTTTAGTTGGGCTGTTATGGCTGCCTTAGTATCCTGAATGATTCAACATGTTTACCTTTCATGGCTTTTTTGACCTGGGGGAAGAGCCAGAAGTTGCACAGTGCCAGACCTGGTGAAAAACTTAGATGAGGGCACCGTGTAATGTCTTTAGGAGCCTGTGTTTCCCTTGGGTGCACATGGAAGCAACATTCAGTATATGTTTGACTATACCTCATAGAGACATTCATGAAAGAGGACTTCTAGAATTTCCTAACAAAGTTTCAAGAATTTGATGTTTCAGATGAGGGAGATTAATGGCAATGTATCTTTATTAATATTTTAAAAAATTTAAACGTTAAGATATTTTGACCAAACGCTACACTTAAAAAAAACCCCAATCATTTTAATAAGTCCTAATGGTAGGTTAGAGATTAGAGAAAATATTTCAAGATAAAAATTTTAATCTCAGTTATTACCTATATAGGCAGAAATTCTATCAATTGAAGTCTAAATATAGTTGTAATCTCCCCCCCCCGCCCCAATCGCCAGGGAAGCACTTATTCAAACTTAGCCATCTCCCCGGCTGCTATAGTTGTAATCTTAAATCGGGCAGAAGTTATTATAAATAACTTATTTAATTATATTGAAGCCTAATGGGATTCTGATCTCCAAATGATAAGATCCTACTTATTTATCCATTCTGTATATTTCATATATATTGAATCATAATGATGTGAGTTTTTGTTACTGACTTTTTTCAACATAATGCTTTTAAGGTTCAATAAGTGGTATGCATCAGTACTTTATTTTTTTTATTTGGCCCATATTTTTTGAGACAGGGTCTCATGTAGCCCAGGCTGGCCTCAAACTTGTGAATCTCCTGCCTCAGCCTCCAGGGTGTTGGGATTGATTACAGGCATGAATGAATCAATACTCCTGATATAGTATTTCTTTTTTTTTTTTTTTTTACATCACTGAGTAATATTCCATTGTAAGGATATATTACATTTACTTACCATTCAACAGGTGATTATACATTTAGGTCATTTCCACCTTTTGGCTCTTTTGAATAAAGTTGCTGTGTACATTCATGTAGATTTTTATGTCGAAGTAAGTTTCTAAATTTTGGGGGATTAATTATTTACCTACAAGTGAAATAGATGAGTCATATACATGGTCACTTTATACATAGCCTTTTGAGGAACTGCTATACTGTTTCCAAACATACTCTTCTACATTCCTGTCAGCAAAATATAAGGGTTCTAATTTCTCAGCATCCTTGATAGCACTTGTTACTATATTGTGTTTTTTACAGTTTTCATAGTTATGAAGTTTGTGCATCATTGTAGATTAAATTTGAAAATAGAAGTAATGGTAATACCCTAAGATGAAGTAGTATTACAGTTAAAGTATTTAATAGGTTGATGTAAATATAACTATCAGTAGCCACATCCAGATTTCTCTTTTTTTTTTTTTTTGGCGGAAATGGGGATTGAACTCAGGCCCTTGTGCTTGCCAGGCAAGCACTTACTCTACTGAGCTATCTCCCTGACCCCTACATTTGGATTTCAAAAATTAATGTCACAAAATTATTTTATTTCTGAGGATATTTTTATGCTACCCCTTCTCCCTGTCCAAATCTTTTATTTAAAAACAAAATAGAACATTCAGCTCTTGTGAATGTTCAGAACATTCATGTGTACTGTGGATCTACTCTACCCAAGCAGAGGTTTACTGTTCTTTTTTTTTTTAAATTTTATTGATAAACAGATAGCAATGAGACAGTTTCAGATCAAATCGTAAGTACAGATTCAACAAATAACATACTGCATATATTCTTCTTAGTGGTTAATTGCTGCACAAGATGTGGACTTGAGATCCTATCTACAAACACCAGTAGAACAAATCATTCTATTCATTAAGAGAATGCAGTTATATATCTATCCTAACCACTTTGAATACACAGATACAAAATGGACATTCATCTGTATACCCCATTTTTTCTAAGTTCTGTTACTGAATATTATAGGTGTGTAAACTCAGCAAAATATTCTAAAAGAGTCCAGTAGCCCATAATAGCATTGGGTCTTCTGTTTAACTGGCAATGTCAGAAATTATTGACCTGAGTCCCCCACAGCTCAACATAACAGCATGGCTTTACTTCCTATATTTCATCTTCATACTTTTCTACTGGATGGTGAAGACCAAGGTAAAGCAGAACCTGTGCAACAAGAGTTGTAGCTTTTTGGTCTGAGAAGGTCAGTGAAATGCCCTCAGGATTTATCCTGAGATCCTGTACCTCAGATTGTAGAACCTTTGTCAGTGTCAGCCATGTGGAGGAGTCACGGCCATTGCTTGGCCAATGTGCTCTCTGTGAAAGCCTGAGAGAGTGTTTTCTCCCCATGTGACTCTCCTTAGGCACACTCTACGTCATCGATCACTTTCCTCTTTGGCCCCATAATCTTCTTGATCAGAAAATTTGGGACACTACTGAGGTACATGACGTTACAGTACAAGTTCTCATATGTCCTGAGTCTTAATTGACCTTAGAAGGTTAGGGCCAAAATGTTGGCTTTCCTTGTAGCCCTCCTTTTTCTCTAATTTTGGTCTGCAAACTTAGGTTGTTAACCATCCAGAAGACAAGCTTATTGTTATTATCAAATGATTTAGGCTATTAAGCTTAACCTTACTATCTCACTGCATTTCAAACATCTTAGGCATAATAAGGAACAGGTATTTTTCATCAAGTATTGATATGTTGAACTTTAAGTCCCTACATAATATGATAAAAAAACATTTAAAAATTAGATTATATTTTAAGGTTTACTGTTTATTATTAAGTAATGACTTATAGAGATGTACCAATAGAAATTCATTTGGAGGACAGGAAAGTACACAGTAACTTAACAGGGAAAGACTATAATGAGTCATTAACTGCAATATGGGAGTGGATTAATGAGGGCCTTATGAGTGAGAAGTGAAGGCAGTGTTAAGTGATGGATATAGAAGCAGCAGAGGTAAAGAGCAGTTTTTACCCCAGGTCTGAGATAGAACACTTCTCCATACACAGGAGAGATCTAGACCTGTTGGGGAAGGCCAGGGTCAAGGCTAGGAGCTCTGCTGAGTTTCTTTCTAGTGCTGGAAGCCGTCCTTCCTGGCTTAGAGAGCACTCTTGCATTCGAGTCTGGTCTTAGCAGAGGAGCTCTGCGGCAGAGCTTCCTGGCCTCTTGGGTGGAAGTATGCCATGTGCCACAGACACAGAAGCCCAGGATAGAAAAGGCGTCTTGGCAACAGGAGTGGGCCCTTACCTGCAGAGGAGTATTAAATGGACCCAGAAGGTTGTTTTGTTTCTCTGCTGTGTTTTCAGTGCTCTCTGATAACATGGAGGATGCCTTTACTGACAAAGCTTAATATCCCTAGACTTGTTTAGTTTTTATTTTGAAATGTTCTAAAATTGTTTCTTAGCCACTAAGCTAAATCCCTAGCCTGTGTGACATTTTGTAGTTGATTGTAGATGTTTTAATAGTCAAATATTACACACTGAAATGACTCAGTAGAAGCACATAAGACTCATTCTCTCAGTCTCATTTATAACTTACGATAATTCTTCTGCCTGAGCCTTCTGAATACTGAGTTTATAGGCATGTGCCCCATACCTGTCTGCCTGCCTGTCTGCCTATCTAATTGGTTGATAGGCCTAGAGTCTCACTATATAGTTCATGTTGGCTTTGAACTCACTGTTTAGCCCAAACTTGGGGCAGTCCTTCTGCCTCAGCTTCCTACATGCTGGGATTGAAGGTGTATGCCACCATGCCTGGCTTGTGTCTTACTGCAATAAATATTTTAAAATGTGAAGTTTCCTGTGTTATAGTGTTTCTTGTAATAAAAACTTCACTTGTATTGTTTTTATGACATCTAATATATAGAAAATGGAATTCTGTATATATTCAATATCATTAATTTTGAGGCCAGCAAGATAGCTCAGTAGACTAAGTGCCTGCTTAGGCAAGCGCAGGGGCTGGGGTTTGATTCCTGGTACCGTATGTTGCGCCAGCCTTGCCTCTAGGCGTGCTGAGCCAGTGACTGACTCTGGGTGTGGTGTGTGCAACTGTAATCCCAGCGCTGTGGAGGCTGAAAACAGGAGGATCACTATGAGTTCAAGCTGCATAGTGAGACCCTGTACAAAATAATAAAAAAAACTAATATTGTTGATTTTCATTTTTTAGATCATCTGCAATGGTGAAATGAAGTAACTGAAGATGAGCAAGTTAAAAGTGATATCAGAGAAAAGGTACCGTAATTCTAAATATTAATTTGTGTAGAGAAGTAATATGTGATAAAATTACTTGAAATTGATTACTTTAACAGATATTTTTATATTTTATTAATATTAAATATCTAAGTTTAAGTAGGAGTTAATTAACTGATAGGTCATATTTGCCTACCTCTGTTTTTTGTATGGCCAATAGCCTAACTGGTTGTTATAAAAATTAAAAATCAAAATTACAATAATACTGTCTGTGTGACACATGAAATTCAGATTTTAGCCTACATAATTAAAGTCTTATTGGAACATAACTGCCCATTCATTTACATATTTATGTATTGTTTTACACTTTTATGCTCAAGTTGCAAAATTGAGTACTTGTGGCATAAATGGTGTAATCTACAATGCCTGACCACAAAATAAGAGTTAATGCTGCTGCTGAGTGCCATCCAAACAGACAGGGATCTTTAGTACTAGAAGCAGTGAGTTGAACCTTAGTTACAGTGTGTGAGAAGTTTCATTTCGTCCAGTGCCTTCATTCAGTTGTAAGCTGTAGTTGAGAGAATGTGTTTTAAAGTTTGCCATAGGGATCAGGGAGATAGCTCAGTAGCACAAGCACCTGCCTGTGAAGTGCAAGGTCAAGGTTGTGAGTTTGATTCCCGGGACCAAAAAAGAAAAAAAAAGTTTGCCATAAATCATGGATCATGAACAGTGCATTTACATGAAAATTTGTTAGTTTCATTGGTGGTGCCTGATTGTGGTGCTTCTGATTCCAGCTTTTTAAGAAGTATCACAAGAGTCCTAGCCCAGGCCTGAATCGGGGATTGAACTCAGATTCTTGTGCTTGCCAGGGACGCGCTTATTCTACTGAGCCATTTCCCTGGTCCATTATCACCAATCCTATTTAATACAGTTCTGGAAACATTACCCAGAACAATTAGACAAGAGAAAGAAATAAAAGGAGTAAGGACAGGAAAAAAAAAAAAGTAGTATCACAAGAGATGAAACTTGGGTCTATGGCTGTGATCCTGAGTCTAAGATTCAGAATTCTTGATGGAGACTGTTAGGTATGAACCCACACAATCGGCCAGACCAGACATTCTGAGGCGAGTAGAAGATTTATTGGAGGCAGCAAGCAGGCTGGCTGTCTAGCCTACCAAGACAACAGTGAAGAAGGCAAAGCACAGGGATTTTAAGTAGTTCTGTGTATGTGTATGTGGGGTGTGTTTGTGAGCTAGAATAGCCAAGGAAGAGCTAATCTTGGCAGGGCTAACTGATCCATGGGGGACTTTCGATGTTAACAATGGAGAGTTTCTGTGATTGCTTGCCCAGGTCAAAGTCAGGTGGACTTGTGCTGTGGATTTCAGCTTGGCTCTGTATGAGGCCAAGGGAGAGAGAATTCAGGGGGTAGGGTGCCTGGGAAACCAGAAAGGAGAGTGATTGGGTCAGGGTGCCTGGGAAACTTTGAATCCTGACCTATCATTTCAGACTCTATTTGGTAGAAAAAGGGTAAAGAAATGTCTGGCTACTTCCTCCTGACTTGGGGGCCTTGTGGGCTGAGATCAGGGCAAGGGATTGTTGTCATTGAAGGGGTCTCATTGGAGTAAGGCCTAGTAGGAGTAATCTGAGAGAAGCATTTGGTTAAAATTTTGGGTTGTTAATTTGGTGACAGTATTGCAGATGAGAAAAATGAAGCAGGGGGTCATTATGAATATGATAGCAAGCCCTAACTAACTATGAGGGGCCCTAGAAGGGGAGTGAGCCAAGGGATGTCAAGAGTTTTATATATCAAGGTGCCTCACAGACATAGCTGTGTCCCGTTTGTGTTGCTTGTCTGGAGATGTGTTAAATGAAGTAAGTTTGGTGCAAGGGAACATGTGAGGTTGTGGGAAGAGGGAAATGGCTAAAGGCCTTTGAGAAGAGGTGTGTGTGTGTTGTTGGATATGGCCAGGGTGGCCATGAGATCAGTCCTTGGAATGGACTCATACAGCCAGCACTTGGTGAGTTTGGTAGTCTGAGTAGAAGCAAGAAGGGAGTCTGTGATCTGAATGTGTCATTTTATCATGACCATGTTGAAGGGGAGGAGTAGGAGGCAACGAGTGATGGGCTTGAGTCCTCTATGATATTTGGGGGCTATTGGGGAATGCAGGGAAAGATCGTGGGATCTCTGAGGCATGTTAGTATAGGAATAGCGTGTGTTGTGTGAATAGGACTGGAAATATCTCAGAGTATGTGGTCGACAAGGGAATGGGGAAGGAGGAGCTGGCTATGCATTGGGGTTAGGTTTATAGGGCAAGCACTGTTGGGAGAAGGGTGAGAGAGACATGGAGCTTTTGAATGAGATTTCTCATGAGGTGTGAAGGTATGAAGTAGGTTGGGTTTATAAGAAATTATGAGTGAAGAACAATGTCTGGAATCCGCAGGGAATGGGTCTGTCTGAAAGTGTCATGTAGGTTGGCCATGAACACCCACCATGAAGACTGTAGATCTAATATAGTAACTTTAAAATTCAGAAAAAACACAATATGTGGTGTCCATGTCAGCAAGATAAGAGTTTTTTTAACCTGAGATGTCCACTGAGACTTGGGACTCTGATGAAAATACCTTGATGTGGGCCATGGACCCCAAGCTCTGTTACTTCTCTTCAGAGGCAAGACCAAGAAGGTTAAGTATGGATGAATCTGGCTGTAGTGGGTTTTCCTGTGTGGGCAGGGAATTGGCTGACTTACCTGCTCCCTGGTGGACGGGGTAGTTGCATTTCCAGTGACCCTTGAGCTTGTAGATGGAACCAGGTAGCTATAGGTTGGGGCAGGCTTGTGCCCAGTGTCCTTCTTTGGCATACTTGGCTTGGGTGGCAGCATTGTTTAGGCTCAATATTGCCTTGTTAGGTCCTACTTTGATGGGAGTCCCAAGTGTCACAGCCAAAAGTTGGCACTGGTGTATAGTTAATTTTGGTCTCTATTATCGAAGATACAAAAAAGTCAGGTTAAGTAAGTTTCCCTGTGGGGTTTGAGGGCTGAGAGCTGTCTTTTTAGCTTGGCTGGATATAAAATAGGAATTAATAACAGTTGTTTCTCTAGGAGAATCTGGGTCTATATTAGTACTTGATTATCAGAATTTATCTGAGTTTTAATCAATTTGAAATATAACATGTGACCAGGGAACTG